CGGTATTTTGTAGCCACTTAACACTTGCTCTTTACCGACTTAAATTTAATACGAATGCTAAGAAAATGCATAAAAAGTTTGAAATTTTAGATGAAAATTTGTTTAACTTTTATAATTTTTGTACATGGTTTGTATGGCGTTCGGTGACCATTCGTCCCAATTTTGGCGGCACAGTACCGATTTTAAGAAAATTGTCCCGCTGAATATTTTTTAAAAGTCGGGACGTATAAGTCCCTTGATTTTTCATATCTGAACCGATTAAGTCCCGATTTTCAGTGTTTTCTTTATTAATTTGATAAGAGCACATAGCCAGCATCCTTATTTTCTATGATTTTTGGTTATGTATTGAGGTTATCATTTCTTCAGAATATTTTGGACCACCTTAACCGATTCCCATAATTATTTTTATTTAAAGAAAAGGTTGTACCTCAGAGGTGGTCCCATACTAATTTGGTTTAGGTCCGTTCATTGGATCTTAAGAAATTTACGGTTATCTTAAATTTGTATATTAAAATTGAAGTCGGTTTTGTTGTAAGTTGTAGATACAGTGGCGGAAATATAAATTGGGAAAAGACATATTTTAGCATTCCTTGGCGATTATTTAATGTTTATCATTTTATTGTCTAACAAAGACCATGTATTTCAAAGTTTCAAACTTTGCACAAAAAGCAAAATTCGACGTTTTATCAAAATTTTGAGCTCTTTAATTAGATTTCTCCGAAACATTCCGAGTATGCAGTTTTGTAGCCCATTCAATTCAAAGTGCAAGTTTTAAGTAAGTACCTTCGACTGACCGTAGATTTGTGGTAATTTTTTTTTTGGGGAAAATGTTGCTAATTTTTTCTATATAAAAAGTTTTTGAACATACTTTGTATGTCGAATATGAAAACTGAGAGAAGAGAAAATAAATCACTTTTCACTTAAATTTCTGGTGAAACCGACAGTTAGCCACTTAAATATAGGAGTTATATCATAGAAATTCATATCTGAACAATCACTAGTATGGGAATATTTCCCCTACCTTGTAGACTCCATAATATAGAGCAATAATCTTGATGATTTTTTCAGTAAACCTTGTATGATTGATAAGATAGATATCTCACAAAATTGCTTGGCTTTGGCTGCCTAAAGAAAGGTTACATCACGAAAATTCATATCTGAACAATCAACTGTTAAATTAAGAAGTTTTCGTTTTAGGAGCTATAATTTATATAGTGGCGTGATTTTCATTGTAAATTCTCTGTTCGTGATAAGTGAAAAAGTGCGAGATTTCATATTCTTAGCTGCTTAAGTGGAGGAATTGTAACCCAAAATCTTTATTTTTTAACAACCAATGTAGGACGGCTCTCTGTTGTAGTTGATTGAAATTATTAAATATTACATTATAAAAAGACACCGGTGTACGAAATTTCGGTTATTACCCGACTTTTCCTATATTCAAATGCCATCTATTCTTAGCCCACTACTAATACCAAGTTTCCACTAGGCATTGGAATGACAAATAGTTTGTGCCATTAAGAAAATGCCATAGTGAAGATTTTTATTGAAATCGATTCAAACATTTTCAACGCCTTGCTTTAATGGCCTAAAAACAATAACTGTGCCGAGTTTGTTTGAAAAATAAAATATAAGTAGTTACTGCGCTCACGAGCAAAATGGAAGTACCAAGCGCAGGACCTGTCTGCACTCGTATTGAACAACTAGCACAAATCCACAAAGGAAAGATGCAATGACGAAGTTTTTTGTCTCGGCGGTTACAGCGGTGCTCATTTGTATGTACATATGTATATGTGTAATTATAAGTAAGAGTTGCCAAACTCATTTTCCAAAAGGTTATCATAATCAGATTTCCTTCTTAGGGCCCTTTGCACCATGTCTAGTTAACACTAAGGGCGAGTTTTTCAGTGCACGGCCGTGGTTTGAAATAAGTTTAAACGCCCGATCTGGCTGGTTTAAACTAAGATCAGCCAATCAAATGTCAGCCAGCTGCTTAATTTAAACTCAGTTTACTTAATCTAATTTTTTTTAAACTGGCACTAAAAAACTGGTCCTAGCTGGAGAAAAAACATCCAGTTAAAATCGTGCGACTGCTTTATCGATCACATGTTTGACATTTGCTGCCAAAACTTGGATTTGCTCAATCCTTATCCATTCGTCCTGAAATATACTAGCCAGAAATGCGACTGCTTTATAAAAAATAGAACCATTATGAAATATGAGTGTTTTTACTATCTATAAATTAATTTATGCAACCTCACATACGTGGTTCTGCATTATCTTGATGCGCGGTTTTGCATTTTGTTGATACGCGGATTTGTACTTTAAACGACGATATGTACTTATCGTTACCTGAAATGACGTAAGACGTCAGAAAGACGTAAGAAACATCGTCGCTGAAATGCAAAAATTCACAACTAAAAAAAAATCAAAATTCACTTTTTGATCGATATGAAGCATTTAACCGAATTACAACTCCCCATATCGTTTTATGAAAAAAAGAAATTGTTAGTCACGACTTTTTCCATTTCAGTGACGATATTTGTTACAGCATTTTTCATTTCAGGTGATGATATCCTAACCCTTTCCGGCCTGAATCAAATTGGGTGGGGCTAAAACTTTTTTGATGGCGTATTATTTTGGTTGAGATTTAAATATGAACTGCTATAAATTAAAAATGTCTAGGACCTCTTGTTTTGCCATTATGAAATGTTGCTTGTAAATATTTACAAAGTTTCCTAACGAAAACCAAGAATAATTTTCAAGGTTTGATGCTTTTTAATTTAATACTTTAATTTTCTTTAATAAATTTTAAAATATATACTTTATTATGGATATTTTTTTTAATGTTGCAGAGCCGCTTTTAGCAACATTTAAAAATTTTTGTTGCGCACAATTAGTCACAATGAAAATACGCTGAACTTCCATTAATGATCAAAACAATGCATACGGTACATAACGAGAAAGAAATGCACTATGTCATTGTTGTCACATGTTGTAGCGGCACCTCCAAGCCTCGCTTATTTTGGTTCAACCTTCAAGCATTGTCGTCAAGCTCCACAAACGGCGGAACCTACAATCGATTCAGATGGATTACACTTGCGTACTTTGCACACAAAAGAGTATATAGCGATTTGAACCAACCCGCACAATTGATGCATCACGGTCGGAAAGGGCTAATACAAACTTCCGTACAAGTGGTTAGAGCGGTCGAAGTTACATCATTATAATGTAAGGCATTTGCATATAAATTTGGCCAAGCAACTTCTGGCAACTCGATAGTTGAATAGAGGGGAACCGAGGAGGGTGTACGGGTGTACGGGGTCGAGGGTGTACGGGGTTGAGGGTGTACGAGTCAAAGGGACCTCAGATTCGGATTCAGCGGGTCGTAATACATGTCGGTGTCTGGTCAAAAGCCGGTGCCGGTGTAATACTAGGTTGGCGCTTACACAATATGTTAAATGTTTGGCAGAGCTTTTCTTCCCAGTTGTGGCGTGCGCCTTGATGTTGTCCCAGAAAGGGGAGGGGACCTACAGTTTCACGCCGACTCTCAACGGTGATTGTATTTTTATGAGAAGCTGTTTTTCATAGCAGAATACACTCGAATGTTTGCCATTGCCTGCCGAGAGGCGACCGCTATTAGAAAAAATTTTTTTTGTTTAATTTGATGTTGTCGGAAACTAGGCTCGAAGCCAGGCACTGCGGAATGGTTGTTGTTGTTGTTGTTGTTGTAGCGGCTACAACAACCCCGCCTAGATCNGTTTAATTTGATGTTGTCGGAAACTAGGCTCGAAGCCAGGCACTGCGGAATGGTTGTTGTTGTTGTTGTTGTTGTTGTAGCGGCTACAACAACCCCGCCTAGATCGGTTGGTATCTCAGTCGTTGTCGTCAAGTTCCACTAACGGCAACCCTAGGAAGCGTGCAGCTTCTGTGGGATCTGTCCACAGGGACAGGGCCGTTAGGGTTGTCGGGTTTTCCGGGCATGCGAAGAGATGGTTCGAGTCATGTGCGGTCTCTCCGCATGCCGGACATTCGTTCGGCACATCCTCATTCAGCCTACTCAAGTAGGAGTTTAACCTGCTGCAGTAGCCGGAGCGAAGTTGAGCCAGTGTAGTGCGTGTCTCCCGAGGCAGATGAAGCTCTGTTGTCCATAGGGCAACATTCACTGCGGAATGGTAGTGCGCACTGCTAACCACTACACAACAGCGGCTACTCAATTCTATAAACAGTCAGTTTTCAAAAGAAAATTTAATTTGTTGCGAGCTTCATGTTGCCAACAAGTTGCAAGCTTTTTCCCCATTACTACTTTTTCTTCTTTGCTATTCATTTTCGTCTCAATAACACGTAAAAGGTGCGTATTTCATACAACGTTTTTAAGGAAGATTTTCCGTATTTGTGGCGGTCGCAGGTTTTTTCGCGAGTGTCGGGGAAAAAATTTTGATCCCGTCCCGCCCGCAATATTTTTAGAAACCTTCCCGATACAACTCATCCCGGCCATTTTGAAATCAGTACCGTGAGTCTCGCGGGTCCCGATATCACTCGCCCATCTCCAGAACAGAGTACTACTTTGTTGTGGAATTTCACACTTACATAAATATTTCACAGAAAAAAAAAATACTATCCTTTCAAGCTATTGAATTCCATTCACTGCTACTACAAGAAATTGGTTTACAAATCCAGTTCGCTATTTTTGACATTGAAATGTGAAGTGGACTATAAAAAGGCGATTCGAAATTGTTGCTGCCGACTCATTTTGTGTCTACAACAATAATAGGGTGATTATTGCACAAAGCACATGAGCCTCGTCATCCAAATGGAATGGATCACAGCTATCTCAAAAAAAAAAAAAAAAAATCGCTGGATCTCTTCAAAACTTTCTATAATTTCTTCTTTTTTTTTGTACTATCAATCGCCAATGCTATGGAAACCTTTTTTTGTAACTGTGTCGAAATACCAACTTTAACGAGGTATGTATTAGCATGTAATAAATATTTTTTCATTCCATTTTATTTTAGCTTTGTTCACTATGCAAATAACTTGTACAAGCAAGTAAAGTAGAGATTTCAAAATTTGGAAGTAGCTGTTATCTAGCGCAAGTCGTTGTCTTGTAGCGCCTTCTCAACTCGTATCACGATTACCTAATCTTTTAAAAGTTGCCGTCAAACTCAACTTACTCGACTCAATCTAACCGTTTATATTGGCGGGGGCTCCGAATGAATAACTTCCCTTTTGTCGGTGCTGCTAGAGTGCGAGTGCTTGTACCGCGTAGGCGCAATTAGTAGACAAATTTTTGGCACGTCGATTTCGACTCGTTTCCCCCAACTCCACAACAAATCGGTTTTAATTGTTAACTTCACCTTCGCCGGCTTCAAAGTGCACAAAAATAGCATGAATACTACATGTATTATAAAAAAAAGCATATAAAACTTTTATTGTAACAAAAACGTATTAAATGCATTTCGAATACGGAAAAAATAAACAAAAAAACACAAAGGCAAAACTAATAATGTATAGGATGTAATGTAATAATCTTAGTTTAGTTCATTCGGTTTCGGAATATTTGTAATTGTTGTGCGTGGAGGTGTTTTTGTTGAGTTCAGGAAATTTCCATTTCCCCCACTCATGCGCTCTGCAAAGCGCTTAAAAACATTTGTACCAAAGTTTAGACTCGAACTACTACGACTTGTGGTACGACGCAGAGAAACATCAGCGACGTCGGCATCGTATTCAGCGCAAGAGTTGTTTGTGGAGCTGGAGGTCATGGTAGCATTTGTATCGACAGAGTTATTGCTGCCAAATGTGCTCGTAATACTTCGTCTAAGGCGACCTACACCATCAGCCACAGGTGTGGAGGCACTACTGCTTGTAGAATCGGCAGCAGCAGCAACGGTACGATCACAGATACAACGAAATCTTTCACATTGCGAACATAAAAGTGTCTTATCCAACTGGAAGAGAACACAGAAACAATGATGCCACATTGCGTTGATTCAAGCGATAGATGAGTTAGAAGTAATGTTAGCGTTTTCAGTAAACAGTAAAAAGTAGTAAGAGAGGAAGTGTGAACACGAACGAAAATTATGGAATACAGTTCAAACTGTTAGTAATTAGATATGTACCTTAGAATAAGTTACTTGAAGCCTTGCGGCTTTCACAAAATGAACGCTTGTTAGAATATTTGCAAAGACATTAATACAAGTATGCAAATTTACCGAGCTACAAACTGCCTAATGATAATGTTAAAACTATAAATTCAGATTGTTTGAATAAGGATTTAAACTTACATTTAATTTCCGCAGCATGTCTGCAACTATGTTGAGTGCTGTTGTTCGAGAGCCTGGCGTCATTGCATTGCCATTGAGTAAGTTAGAAGAATCTGAAAAGGGTTTTTCTAAATTTGAGTTATAGGCACAAATTCAAAGACATTATAGTACTACGCATATAATTTATACTTGTACAATTATAAAAAATGTATGTCTACGGACGCACACAAACAACACAACTACTTATTCGTTAACGTTTTGCACATAATACATATAAAAAAAAAGTACAAACTAGTTTAATCAATCGTATAACGTGTAGAATATAAGATTCTGCTAGTTCTCTCTTATATTTGTATTTATTGAAATCAAAATTGCAAATCACGCATTAAAGGCAAATTTTTTCATTACTTCATAGATCAATTTCTTAAATAATTTTTGTTTTATAAAAATTAGAAGTTGAAGTACATTATCGTTTACAGTATTAGGCTTAAAAGTAGTGGGTAGATGTTTGTGTGGTACAGCTCAATATATTAACAAAAGGTTTTAGTTTTTGATCTTTTAGTCTTAGGATTTGTTTTAAACCTTATAAATTTTATTCCACATTTTCTAGATCGTAATACACCTAAAATCTTACTTTTCAAAGAATGTTGTTCACCATAATTGGGTATAACTGTTGGACTGTTGCTCAAAGTATTTGTAAGGCTGGTATTGTTGAGACTGATGTTATTGAGAGTGGTACTAAGACTGGTATTATTAGGGCTGATGGTATCATGGGTGATATCGCCTTTGTTGACAGTACCATTTAGTACAGCTGTGGACTGTGTTGTCGTTTCTGATAAATTACTAACTGAACCACTTAGAGGGTTACGCGTTTTTACATTCAGTTCTTGTTTTAAATCTAAAATAAGAACAAAGTAAATTTAATAACACCATAAAAAGGGCGTATTTTATGATAAGCTTTCTGCTAAACCTGTTGGAATAAAGAGTGTGTGCAGATTACAAGCTTGTGTCTCATATTGTTAAGTTTTGTACATATGAATATGAACAATTAGATAATTTACTCCGTTTTTACCTCTTGTTTCATCCATGAGTCTCTGTAGCTTCTCCTGCAGCATTTCTTTTTCATCTACCTCCATTTCCAGAAGTGCATTTTTCTCATAAGCTTTGTCCAACATTGTTTCGAAGTCGGCAATGCTTTCGTTGAGTATGCGATGCGCCCGTTCTAGGTCATCATTCTTTTGTTCCAATTGGCGCAGGTACAATTTCAGCGTATCACGCTCGTTTCTCAAATTTTCCAACTGTCTTTCTGTATTGGCCAACTCAATGGCATGAGATTGTAATTTGAGCTGCAACAAAAATCGATGTAGTTACCAAAAAATAATAAAAAAATTTTAACTCAAAGGACAATACCTTCAAGGATTCATTTTCCTTCTCTAGTGAAGAAAGTGTCGATCTGAGATCTTTGATTATACTCTGTTTCTGTTCAAGTGTAGCATCCATTTCTGCCTCCATCTGTCGCGACTGCTCCACGTACTCGTCGTATTCTTGTTTCACATCTGTCCATCTATTATACCATAAATTTCAAAAGATAAATAATAGTTATATAAGTATTATACTATAAAATATGTTTACTCTTTGTGGTAAAGCTTTGCGCGCTCCTTCCAATACCGACATTCATCCTCAACGCTATTAAACATCGGTGGCGACTCCATCGCTGTTTTATGTTTTGTTAATTCGGGAAATCTAATTAAAACTTCCTGCTGCTATGAAATGCCACTCTCAGTCGGTTTGACGATCTTATTTCCTAGTTCTTTTCACAATTTTTTCACCAAAAAATGTTAAAGCCCCTTTCTTTTCACTATAGAAAAATCAAAACACAAGTTTCTGTAAATAAAATAAATAGCGAAAAATCAATTAGTTAAAAAATCGTAAATTTCCCCCATTTACAATTGTATTTTTCATAAAGCTGGCATACCATCGATGGTACTATCGATAACATCGTTGGTTGTCTACAACCCTCAATGGTTTGAGTTGCTCAAAAAAAAACCAGGCTACAACACAAACATGTTCATTAAGTTTTTTGAACAAAAATAAATGGCTGATATGAGTTGAAATGCTTAATTTATATATCTCAAATTACGGTTGGACCATTGATGGTTTGCTAAAACTATCGATATTATCAAAAATATCGGCGGAAACAACAATCGACGGTTTGCCGAACCTAATTTTTCATATTGACGTCCACGGCGCCGTCGGCGCTGGCGACAAAACGAAAGCGACGACTGCGAAAGGCTTCGAACGACGAAGGCTAGTGTCCAATGAAATCATCGTTCACTTTTTCAAAACTGGTTTTTCCACTTTCCACTTACTGCAACTATAAAAACTATCCAAAAATATAAAACTACACAATTTACTTACATTTTGAAAATAGTCTTGTAAAATACTGCTCGCTTGTTTTCGGAAAATATGCAAAATAAATGTGCGACGAAGTTCGTTAAAAATTGTGTTTGCACCAAAATGCCAAAACTTCTCTTCAGCATTGCCAGCAGGAACCAAGACACGCTTCCTCGCCAGTTGAAGAGTTGCAAGGATTAGTAACAAAAATTTAGAACAGGNTCGTTAAAAATTGTGTTTGCACCAAAATGCCAAAACTGTAATACAGCATTGCCAGCAGGAACCAAGACACGCTTCCTCGCCAGTTGAAGAGTTGCAAGGATTAGTAACAAAAATTTAGAACAGGTAATAGCACTACAAAAATAAAAATTTCCAAGTATTTTGGTTTTACGGCATGAGTTGAAAAACTCTGAGGAACACCTAAGGAATACTGACCTTTAAGCTAGAGTAAAACAAAACAGTGAGCGTGGACCGCCCCCTTTTCCGGATTTTAACCTTGAACGAAAGACACAAGATCACGCGGGAAGGAAAGAACGAAAAAAGTTATTTTCTAGCTGCCGAAATCTCGACGTCATCTTTGTTGTAAGAAGTAAACAACGAAGAGAACGGAGAAAACCGCGAAATAGTTGAACGCATGAAAAATCATTTTTATTATGCAAATTCTTCTAAAAATCATGCCGTTGTGTTAAATTATTCTTTATCTTATGTGTACACACGTTGTCACAAGCGAAAATTAAGAAAGTTGCAGTAAAAAGCCACCACCAAATTGTAAACAACGAAGAAATGTAAGCAAACGGCTAATGTCAAAATCGTTCAACTTTTTTCCTTAATGCGATTCTAACGGGCTACTCTCCTGCCCGTGTGATCTTGTCTTTTTGGTTCATGGATTTTAACGGCATATTTTTTTTGGTGCAAATTGACAGGGGCGGCGATGGGGGGCGGCGGGAGGTGGTTTAACGTGGAATTTTCAACATTTTCTTGTATTTCGAAAAGTAATGAACCGATTTTCTAAATATGGACACAGTTGGAAAGGTGATTGAAGGGCCTTTCATTTGATATATATATCTATGTATATACTGTATATACATTGCGAGAAAAGGTAAAAAACGAAATTATGGACATTTTTTGATAAAAATGTATGTTTTTCTTTAAAAAATACTTAATTAACTATATCAACAGATATGTTTATCAGAAAGAACACAAAAATACCGTTAACTTGATATATTACTTGTAGTAAAAAATTCTTGTGGACATCATATTTGACTAAATATATATAAAAAAATAGTTTTATATGAAAAAGGAAAAGGACCGCAGGCGAAAATTTGGAATAAAAAATCGCGCGATAGAAAATCTTACTCTCTTTAGTTTTTACAAAAATTTAATTAAAATTAAAATTAAAATTAAAAAAATACTAAAGAAATATATACAAATCATTTTTTTAATCACCTTATTTATTATAAGATTGAATTGTAGAATTAAATGGTAATTAATTAATACGCTATCCACAGTATTTTTGCGTAGAATTCCTTTTTGCGTAGGCGGTCTTTGGCCTTAGGGATTATAACCCTCACTACGCAGAATTCTTCTTTCTGTGTTGTCAAATAAAAGGGGCGGAACACCTTTTGCAGAGAACACCTTTTTGCGTAGGCGGCCTTCAGCCGCGCTTAGGGATTATAACCCTCACAACGTAGAATTCTCCTTTCTGTGTTGTCAAAGAAAAGGGACAGAACACCTTTTGCAGAGAAAACCTTTCTGCGTAGGCTTCCTGCGCTTAGGGATTATAACCCTCACAACGTAGAATTCTCCTTTCTGTGTTGTCAAAGAAAAGGGACAGAACACCTTTTGCAGAGAAAACCTTTCTGCGTAGGCTTCCTGCGCTTAGGGATTATAACCCTCACAACGTATAATTCTCCTTTCTGTGTTGCCAAAGAAAAGGGGCAGAATACCTTTTGCAGAGAACACCTTTTTGCGTAGGCGGCCTTCGGCCGCGCTTAGGGATTATAACTCTCAATATATTGAATTCTTCTTTCTGAACACCTTTTGCAGAGAACATATAACATTAATACAGTTTTATTATTGCACTGCTGGCAGTTGTACATAAACCTAACTATATAAAATTATACGCCAAATTAAAGGTCTTTCCGATAAACATATTTGTTAATATAGTTAATTACGTATTTTTTTACGAAAGCGATCATAGTGCAAGCTAAGATAGCTCGTGGCCCAAACCGAATCCTTCCCTGTGAGAGAACAGTCCTAGTAGCGTTGGATCTGTCAAAGGCGTTTGATACCATCAGCCACTCCACTCTACTAGAAGATATTGAGACTTCCTCTCCCCCACGAAGAGGTGCCGTGAGTTGTGTGGCGACTCTCCGCATGCCGGGCATTAGTTGGGCACTTCTTCGTTTATTCTGCCGGTGTATGAGTTTAGCCTGCTGTAATAGCCAGAGAGAAGTTGGGCTATAGTGGCGCGGGTCTCCCGAGGCAGACAAAGTTCTGTCCCGCCCACGTCGGGTAGTTGTGTGCCCAGAACAGCATTCACAGGTCAAGAGCCTACATAACTCGAGACCGACTCCCAGTGAATGCCGTTAAGGGCCTGTCGGAATGCAGTTGGTCCAGAGGTTATTTTATGAACATCTGGACTTCGTCCGACAGTTCGTAGAGGTGCTTCCTGCCGTGCCTTGGCGAGGGCTCTTCTGCAAGCAGTTGTCTATTTGGGTGACCAAGTCTGTGGTTCCCCAATAGAAACTGCTTGGAAAGCATGGTGTTGTGCTCCGTTATGGGCAACATCTGGGCCTCGCCGTGTAGATGGTGTTAAGGCAACATCAAAAGGCAACCAGTCAGTGTCCGAAGTGCCGTGTTCTGGTAGGTCTGTAGCTTCATCCACTGCATCCTGCTAGTCCCCGGCGACCATACGGGTGTTGCATAGTTTAGAACCGGCCGGCCAATTGCTTTATATGTTCCCAACAACGTTTCTTTGTCTTTGCCCCAAGTGCTGCCGGCCAGCGACTTGAGGACATTGTTGCGGATCCGCACTCTGTTGACAATTGTGATTGTGTGCGCCGAGAAGGAGAGCAGAATGTTGAAGGTTTCTCCGGGGATCTTCGAGTTCTTCACCGTCGGTATTGGTTCGCCACCGACGTGAATACCCATTTGTAGTCTGACCTCCTTCGTCCAGATGGTGAATAAGGATGCCGGGGATTTTGTAGAGGAGAGGGTAAAGGTCCTTGCAATGAAGAAGCGAGAAAGCTCTGCGAGATAATCGTTTTTTTCGAGCACAAGTCATCAATTTCATTCCCAGACGCCATTATCGAGCAGTCGTCAACATAAGAGACAATAGTGACTCTATATGGTGGTTGAGGGAGCTTTGAAATGTAATAATTAAACAGTAGCGGGGATAGGACACCATCCTCTGGTACTCCCTGTTTAATTCTTCTCGATTTGCTGGTTTTGTCTCTAAATTTACTGACGAATGTCGACCACGCGTGGTTAAGGCCACAAGTTATCTGAGTGTTTATGGCGTTAAGTGCTGTTGTTGGGCTGTGCACTTTACGTGACCCATTCTGATGCTTCGCTGGGGTCAGGTGTTTTGTGTAATGCAGGAGTAGAAGGGCCTCTAGTGTCTTCGCTACCGGGGAAAGGAGGGTTGTCGGACGATAAGACTCTCCTTTATTGGACGGTTTCCCCAGTTTAAGCAGTGGGACCACTCTCTCTATTTTCCATATGTCTGGAATGATAAGAGTGACCATAGACAGGTTGAAGACCTTGGTTAAATATTCCACTCTCGCAGGACCCAAATTTTTCAGCATCAACATGCAAATTTCCATTGGGTGAAATGGCTTTGGAGGAAAACAAGAGGCGCACTTGGTGTTGACAGTTTATGCATCCGTCTGGTCACTCGAAGTTTGGGTTTATCCGCCGGAGAATGCATTATGAACTGTCAGCTAAAATAAATCGCGTACCCCTCCAGGTCCGACGAAGCGCGATCACCAAAAGATATTTCGACACTGTCATCACTCTTCGTCGGATTGGGCCATGACTCCACTGTAGACCAAAGCTTGCTCACACCAGAGGCGAAGTTGCAGGTCTTCGGATGCTCTTCGTACTTCTTCCACTTTACTCGGCCTGACGAAGGTTGTCACGCTCATCACCTAGGCAGCCGCTTCGGCAGGAAAATTCGGACGGGGATCCGAAATGCATCCTACCGGAATGAAGCGGGCTGCAGCAGCAGCGACAACCCTGCGGAATTTACATTCACCTACGTGAACGTCGGTTGGTGTGGGTAGGGCAGTGAAGGCGCTTTCAGTAACATCCGCGAAGCCTTTCCAATTAGCTTGGGAGAAGTTGGTATAGATTCGGTGATCCGCGGAAGCAAAGTTGGCAGGTTTATCAATAGAGATGACTATGGGCAGATGGTCTGATGATGGGGTCAGTATAGGTCGCCATGATATGCTGTTTATCAGACCATCGCTGACAATTGTTAGGTCCGGCGAGCTGCAGTAGCTATCCGTAATCCTGGTGGGTGCGTCGTCGTTCATTGTGCAGAATATCAAACCGTCTNTAGCTTGGGAGAAGTTGGTATAGATTCGGTGATCCGCGGAAGCAAAGTTGGCAGGTTTATCAATAGAGATGACTATGGGCAGATGGTCTGATGATGGGGTCAGTATAGGTCGCCATGATATGCTGTTTATCAGACCATCGCTGACAATTGTTAGGTCCGGCGAGCTGCAGTAGCTATCCGTAATCCTGGTGGGTGCGTCGTCGTTCATTGTGCAGAATATCAAACCGTCTATCTGCTCAGCCAAGTGTGTTCCCCTACGATTATTCGACAGGCTTGAATGCCAAAGATCATGGTGCGCGTTAACGTCACCAACAACCATACGGTTTTCACCTCTGTGGGCAGCTAGGTGGTGCCGGGTAGCTGGTGACAGAGGGTATATATACGTTAAATATTTCGAGCTCGACATCGCCTGACCGGATAGTAATACCCGGGCATTCTAGGATGGTATGCCTGCGGTCGGTGTGTGCTTCGATAAGACGATACTGCACGGTGTTGTGCGTGATAACCGCTAGGCCACCACCACATTGTATCCGGCCCAATTCAACAGAGTCGAATTGCTGTGCAGC